CCCCCCCCCGCCCCCGGCTGTGCTTTCTGCTTCAGGGCGAAAGCCCCAAGGGGACAAGCTCGAGGCAGGTGGCAGGGAGAGGGGACAAGCTCCTGGTGCTGCTTTTTTAAGGCTGAGAGACGATTATCAGGGTGTGGGGGGGGGAGGCTGGTTGTTTTCCCCTTGTTCTTGCAACTGTTTCAGCCCCAAAGCTTCTCCCTTTCCTCATCTGCTTTGTCCCTCCAGCAGCAGCAGCAACTTCTCACCTGTCTCAGTTGGAAAGCAATAAAAAAGAGAAAGAAAGAAAGAAAGAAAGAAGCCCAGTCCAAACCCCCCACCACAACCAAGCCAAAAAGGATCCCCTCAGCAGCTTTTCCACCTCTCACCTGTTCCAGCCCTAAAGCAGCAGCTGTTTCTTCCCTTCCCTCTCCTGGATCAGCCCTGGATCAACAGCAGGAGCAGCCGCTTCCCACTTGCCTTCGCCCGGAGTTCAGGATTCCATTGTCCCCCACACTGCACTTGGTGACATCACTGACACACAAAGAAGGGGCACTTCGTGATGTCATCAACGCATGCTGGGAGAGAAAACAAAATCCTGGGCTCGGGGCTTGGCAGCCACAGAAAAGAAAAAACGCTGCTTCGGTTTTCCCAAGGTAGAAGTAATAGGGATTTTTTCTTTTTTTCATTTTTTTTTTAAGTCCCCAAATTGGGAGCCCGTGTGCATGACGGGCGCTGCATTCAGTCGACTGGAGTGCTGTTGTACTGGATTTTCGAGGCTTTTTACTCTTCTCCCCCAAATCTTTGCTGTCGCTCGCTCACTCTCTGCCCACGAAGCGAAAAAAAAGTAATTTGGCAAGAGTGACCCACCATACCTACCACATGTTCAGAAGAACAGTACACTCGGTCACCTTTCCCTGTAGTCCTTGTAGGTTGCCATAGCTCTTAATTGAAGTGCTGGACCTATTCCTGAAGGGACAATAGGAATGAGCATTCCTATCGACTTTTCCGGGATAAATTTGGCTCAGTGCCATCAGTTTCCACAGCATATCAAGAGATCACATATCGAATTACTTGATATCTTTAGTGGCCGAAAATATAATGACCATCTCCACCGTCCAGCATCGTAATGAATAGGGCTTCGTATTTGTCATCGTTCTTTCGGTTTCCAGGACCTCCAAAGTGATCTGCAGGCTGAAATGCGCGATATTCGGACAAAAGCATGGCCAGCGACATGACGACGTCACGCCTTAGGAGTCTAAGGGGTTACATTATATAACCGTAGCCCGCAGGGCACGGAGGGACACCGCGACCCCCCCCCGCGCGGCGTGGGGCGAGGGACACCTCTGGTTAGAGC